TAATTTCTAACATGAACATGAATGAATTAAAATGTTGGATCAAATTTATTAAACAATCTTAGAAGCAGTCTTGCAATTGGATAGTTGGAGGTGTGTTTGAGGTTAGGGGACAGGTAATTGGAGTAAGTTTGGGATTTGGAGAATTTGCAAAATACAGCAACGCCTGGCTTCCATAAATTATTTCATGAAAAATGCCAACAATAACGCACCACAACACCTATATTCCCTAAATTAATTTCGATTGGCGGTTAGCTTAATTTTATGTGGCAGAGTAAGTGGGTGAATTTTTAGAAATACAACAACATTTTTGACCATCGACAACTTCACTAGGCCCTTTCAGAAAAAAAACAACAAAAGATTTTTTTTAATGAGAGTGTTTCTTAGAGCAATTTGATGGAAAAATACATACGTATATTAAGAGAAATCTAAATTACAGAAAATCAACCAGCATTGCATTTTGTTACCCCATGAATGTAAATATTGTTTTTTATTCATTATTATTATTATTGAGAATTTAATCAATTTTTGATGGGTTACACCTAGTTAATTATAATATCTTTATCTGATAAGAAAGTAACAAACATTAGTTTCAGAAAGAAATGAAAAAGTATGTTTTTAAGGGTTCCCATTACCAAATACAAACCTGAGATCTCTGGGTTCTAAAGTTTGAGCGGCAAGCCGCTCCAACATGTATTGTAAAGGAGGGTGTAAAGGATGAGTTTCTTCCTCCAATGCTATTCTTCCACATTCAAGCAATTGACCAGGTAAACCAGCCTCACACATAACCTGTTGATTTCTCTCAGAGCGCACCAATGACTTTAATACTTCTGAAGCATACATTTGTAATGTTAATGCAACCTGAGAAAATGAAAATTGATTATTCAAAAATCTGTCAACTAAATGAAGTTTCTTAATATGGCAATTAAAATAAGTTTTTATCTGATAAGAGAAATTTAGCAGCATATTAAAAATTACCAAGAAAATACTTGAATAAATAATTAAAGCAACTGTTGCTCACTTGAGTCTCTTCGAGATGTTGAATTGATGGTAAGAGATGTAGCATTGCTAACACAACGCCTGGATGTACAACAACAGGGTCAGGTACAGGAGGAGTCAAATTAAGTGAATTCACTGCAGATCTTTTTCCACTAGGGGAATCAAGAATCTTGATATGAGTCTACAACACAAGTAAAAATAATCAATTACCATACTTCATGAGAAAATAGAAAAATGCTTTAAATTATTTCACAATTTGTACATTCAGATTCTTAAAAATACATAATAAACTGGATAATATA